CTTTGTTGTTTGTACCTCAGTGCTACCTCAAAAGCAGCAAGATTTTTTTACCTGAAAACATTGGGCAAGGACAGAGTCTGCAAGAATGGAGCTTTTGTAGCACAAACACAGCTCTTTTCGGGTTTAAATTAGATTTCCACTGACCTTTTTGAGCCCATCGTTCAGCCACCCACACCCAAGCAGCCCCTCTGAGCAAGACTCTGCAGCCCCCAGCCTGGGAAGAGGAATAAACCCCCAGAGACTTGGCTGTGCTCCCAGGGAACCCCCACACCCCTCCCAGCACAGCTCCTGCTGCACAGAACTGCTCAGCTGCTGGGCTGCAAAGCTCTTCCAAAGGAAAGCTGCACAAAATCCAAGTTCAAGCTCAACCTTAACCCCTGTTTATTAACTTAAGAACATGCCTCTCAGGGTGACAAAGCCCGTGCATCACCTGCCAACTGTCTCATTCACCACTGGGAAAGCAAAGGCCAGGCCTGCCTCATTAAAAAGCATTACATAACATTAAGCAACAAAGGGCTACAGGACATTCTTTGCTTGTTGGACATGTAAAAATGAATGACTCAAAAATTAATGCTCCTTTCCTCCAGACTCCTGGTGTCTCCAGCACCCTGGGAGGGCAATGAGCACCTTATTTCCAAGGCAACGGTGTCTTGGCTCATCCCAAATCCCACTCTCACATCCAACTTATTGTCACCCCTGCCCTGCAGACACCAAACACGCAGCACTGCCCAGCTCTCTTTCAGAGCACTCATCAGACACCAGTGGATGTGCTTCTGCTGCCTCATGGCTCACACTGGGGGGGAAGCTGAGATCTCAGCCTGTGGCACAGGGACCCTTTCCCAGCCTGGGGTCAGCTCAGCTGGACAGGACTTTGGGTTTCCCCCATGCCACCATCTCAGTGCAAGCTTTTCACAGACAGGACTGTGAGAGCACTTGGTTTCACTGTCACCACAAGGCCTCGAGACCTGTGTTTCCTGTGAGTGAGGATGTTTCTGCTGCAAAGTGCCAGGGCCCTGATGCTGTGAGGAAGGCAGGTGTCAGCAGGGCAGTGCTTGGAAAGGCCACCATCCTCCCAGCAGGACACAGACTCCATAGGCACTGGGAGATCTTCCTGGAGACATGGTGGACTTCTATCCGCCATCTCGCTGGAGCCAAAGAAGCCAATTCCAAGTCTTTATAGAACCAATTGAATTCCTCTACTGCGGGAGCAAACTCTCCTTACTGTGGGCGGTGGATGAAACCGGAGACTTCTTGCTCCATGTAGCATTTTGAAACACCCTGCAAAGCCTTACCTAGAAGTTTCACCTTACCTGAAGAACCATTTCCTACAGCACACAGAGCTCATCGTGGGTGCTGATCTGCTGCTGCCGAACACAGCGAGCAGAAGGCAGGGACGTCCTGTGGTTTGACAGCCACTGCATCACCCTCCCTCCTGCCCCCAGCGGGATGGGGGCCTGTGAGCAGAGGGTCACAGCTCTGAGCACCACGGGTGTCACCCAGGAACCTGACAGGGTGGGACAGGCAAGGCAGGGGTGTGCTGGAACACCTTGGGATGGAATCACAGGATGGTTCGGGTTGGAAGGAACCTTAGAGCTCATGTAGTTCCTTCCCCCGCCATGGGCAGGGATGCTTTGCACTAGAGTCCAGGGTGCTCATTTGATCCAACCTGGCCTTGGAACTTCCAGGGAGATGACAGCCACAGCTGCTCTGGGCAACCTGTGCCAGGGCCTGACCACTGTCACAACCAGGAATTTCTCCCCAATATCCATCTAACCCTGCCCTCTGTCAGGGTGAAGCCATTCCTCCTTGTCCTGTCACTCCAGTTCCCGATGCACAAGCTGCTTTTTCAAAGCCAGTTATTAGAAATAATGCATCAATGTAACACGCAAGGGAGGGGCTGCCCACAGGAAGGGCTGCAGGGCTACAGCCTGGGCAGGAATTTAGAATTCTTCAGGAGGAGAGCAGCTGGCACAAACTGGGGAGCCTGATGCTCCACACTCATCTGCCCCTGCAGAGTATCACCTTTTCACCTCCCTCACATCCAAAGCTGCTGCTCCTCTACAGCGACAAACCTACCAGAGACAGCAACTGCCAGCAGGAAGTAGAAACAGCCTCTCATGAAACCCCAAAACTATTCACACAGCTTTCCTAACAGGAAGATGACTTGTTCTCCAGCAGAGCCCCAGAGCTGCTGAGATCTGCTCTCCCTCCCTGCCCTCCCAGCTCACAGAGTACAGCCGGACCAAAGCAGACTCCAGGTCACACCACGTCTGGGCCAAGGAAGGAGGCTCAGCTTCACAGCTTCTCACTGCACCCACAACGAGCCACGTCTGCCCAGTCAGAGCCCAATTACAGGGCTGTGGGCAGAGCTGTTCCCACAGGCCTTCAGCAAAAAGCCGTGGCAAACACATGAAGGAAGCTCCTGTGCTGGCACCCGAGTGTCCCTGCTCAGCAGCACTACAAGGGAAGAGGGTTTGACTCCTCAAACTGCAGTGGGAAGTCACAGGAGTTAGCACAGGGCAAACCAGGCCATTGTCCTCTGGTACCAAACCCCACAGTGCCTGGCCCTGCCGAGCAAGGGGAGGGTCTCCTCCCCAGCCCAGGGGCTGCAGCTCTCCTGCACACCCCACAACAGCACATCAGGGGTTGCTGTTCACCCGAGGCTTCCCTCCCCCCTCCCACCAACCCTTTAGTGCCTGTGGAGCTGCAGTTCCTGTCTGAAGGCAGAGATAAACAGCTTCTTACCCACCCTGGCTTGCACAGGGCCTGGGCCTTGCAGCAGTGCCCCAGATCAAGGGGCAGGCACACACCTGGAGGGACCAGCCAAGCACAGGAGTGCTGCTCCAGCACAGCTCATGCCAGCTCCTAGCTAGGAAAACCACAGGGAGGGGGGTGGGCAGGGGGAGACAGCTCCAGAGCACAGCCAGGCCCAAGTCCAGCAAAGATGTTTATTGGCAGCTGCTCTCAGACATTGTGTCTTCCAGCCCAGTGGGGCTGGAGCTGGGAAATACTGATTGTCCATGAGCACAACCCTCATGTCACTCCCATTGATCCGCTGAGTCACTCCCGTATTAACAGTTTTGACAACACCCGGGCTGCACAGGAGCTCTGACACAGAATACAAAACAAGGGGCACTGCGAAGCCGCTCCAGAGAGCGGCACCCAGGAACCTGCTGAGCTGCCAGGACCCACTTTCTCCTCTCAGGAGCTGCACCAAGAGCAGCCAGCACACACCAGGCTGCAAGGGCAGAGCACACAGCTCCATCCAGTGTGCCTGGGGAAGCTGCTGGACACGAGGTCTGCCCTGCAAACCACCACCAGCTGCACCCCGTGGATGCAGGGGAAAAGCAGAGCAGCTGCTGCTTTGGCAAAGGAGCTACACAAGTGATTTTTAAGTGATTTATAAGGCCTCACAGAGCTGTCAGCTAACGAGGAGGAGAGCAAACCCCAAAGCACAAGAGGGCAGCCACCTCTCCAGGCTGAGGGACAACCCCTGGAAAGCTGGGGGCTCCCTAGATCTCATGTTCCCACAGACCTGAGCATGCTGGTGTTGGATCAGTCAACACCACAACCCTCCCAGCACCCAAAAGCTGCTCAGGAGTGATAAAACACTGACCAAACAACGTTCCTATCTCCAACGTACCAAATTAAAACAAAACCAACAAATCTTTGGCAAGTTCCTCACAGCAGCCAAGCCTATCCCGCCACGGCGAAGGCTCCCCATGGAGGCCTCCTGCCCTAATTTGCAGCAATTCTTTGTCAGACCACTGACAAACACCCAACGTTTGCTCCAATCCGTTACATAAGGCCCAGTTTTTAAACCTTTGTGCTGGCCATGGGGAGATGGGGCACACTGTGCAGGGCAGCCTGGCTGGCAGGTGAACTCACACACTCCTCAGAATGCACTTCCACACCTCCAACCACTTGTTGTGAGGAAGGAAAACAAGTGGATTAGTTAAGGAGGCAACTTTCAAAGGTTTTACACACGTTTCAACCCAGATCCAGGCTAACTCAAACTGTTTAGAACAGACTGATATCACGGCAACTCAAAAGGGGTTTGTGAAACTTTGCTTTTTAACTTCCAAAATACACAAACACGGCAATTCTTCATGTTGCACAGTGCACAAAAGGCACCTTCCTGACCATCCCTACAACTTCCCGTTGTTTGCTCCCTGAGATCCAGACCCAGCTCGGTGGCTGAGCTCCCTCCTGCCAGCCAGCGACAGGAGCCACGGGCCTCCCCGGCAGATTGCTCCTCATCTGCAAACCTCAGAACAGCTCAAGTCGGCTCCTGTCTGCTGGGGGCAGGAGGGGGAGGGCACTTTTCCCTTTCCTCACATTCATCCTCACCCGCTTCGCTGAAGAAAAAAAAAGCCGTTTTAAATACCAGGTTCAGCCGAGTCCTTTTCCCCAAATAAACACTTCCCAACCCCTCTGGAGAGAGGAAAGCCACATACAAAGGAGCCAACATCCTGCGAGGCTGAGGCAGGCCGGGCAGGGTGCGGGCCGAGGGGACACGGCGGGGAGGATCCGACCCCATCCCTGCCGCCCACCCGGCTTCGGGGGGCACTGGGGGGCTCGCAGCCCTTCCCGGGGGCCACAAAACAGGCACGGCCGGGAGGGGACGGGGCGAGGCGGCCCTGGGCCCTCAGACCCCGGCCCAGCCTGACCCCAACGCGACCCCAAAGCCTTCCCCACGCCCCGATCCCAACCTGATCCCCACAGCCCCCCACTCCCCCCGGCCCAGACCGACCGCACCTCAGCCCCACCACCCGCGACCTCGCCAGGCCAAACCGGTGCCTCCCCCGGCACCCCCGCGACCCCCACAGCCCCTTCCTCTCGCCGGGCCCCTCCCGGTACTCACCCCTCCCCCGCCACCGCCCCGGCCCCGCCGCCCCCGCCCGCGGCGCCGCCCGGCCCGGCCGCCCCTCCCCGGTGCCGGCCGCGTGAAGCCGAGGCCGCAGGGCCCCCGCCGTCCCCCGGTGCTCCCCCGGTGTTACCTCGGCGGTCCCTCAGCGCCGGGCGGCGGCGCCGCTGCCCCGCGGCCGCTCCCCCATGGCGGCGCCCCCGGCCCGGCCCCGCTCGCCTCCCCTCCGCCGCTGCGCCAACGGCGTACGGCCCGCGCTGCGCCAACGGCGTACGAGCCGCGCCGCGCCCGTGCGCGCCCGCGCGCCAGCGGCGCAACCGCGCTTCGTGAATACAGGCCGCGGGGCGGAGCGCGGCGCAAGCGCAGCGGGAGCGAGGGTGGCGGCGCAGCGGCGCTGGCGTAGAGCGCGTTCGGGAATAGCGGCCGGCAGGCGGCGGCGCGGCTTTGCGGCAGCGCCGCGCGCTTTACGGCAGCTCCGGTTAACCCTGCGCTGCCCGGCGCCGCTGTCGCGACAGGGCCCGCGCCGCCTCAGCGCCCTGCAGGGCTGGAGGGTGCAGCTGCCACACAGGGAACAGGCCGCGCTGTGGGGTGTCCTCCAGGGTCCGGCCCCACTGATGGATGTAGCTCCGGTGTGTGTTGTCGCGCCGTTGTCTCGACTTGGGTGCCTCCGTCCTCCGGGGGAGGTGGGTACGGGCTTGTTGCTGTAGGAGACAGGCCCTAATACCTGAGAGAGCCCTGCACCGGGGCACAGCCCCTGTTTAGGGGCACAGCCCTGTTTTGGGGTACAGCTCCTGTTTTGGGGTACAGCTCCTGTTTTTGGGATACAGCCCCTCTTTTTGGGATACAGCCCCTGTTTTGGGGTACAGCTCCTGTTTTGGGATACAGCTCCTGTTTTGGGGTACAGCCCTGTTTAGGGGCACAGCCCTGTTTTTGGGGTACAGCCCCTGTTTTGGGATACAGCCCCTGTTTTTGGGATACAGCCCCTGTTTTGGGATACAGCCCCTGTTTTGGGGCACAGCCCTGTTTAGGGGCACAGCCCCTTTTTGGGGCACAGTTCCCTCATCCCCACATTCATCCACACTCCAGGTCCTCTGGGGTAACCTCAGGATGGGGACTGGGGCTCCTGCAGAGGGGGCACAGCTGTGACACCCCATCCCGTGGGAACAAAGGGAAGTCGGGGTGGGATTTTACAGGCATTGACACCTTTTTGGGGACATCTGCCCTGAGCAAAGCCACTCTGAGGGAAACAGAGATACTGCCATCCCACTGCCTTGCAGGGAACAGAACTCCAGGATTGTGGGATCTCCTGGGACAGGAACCAAGCAGGGACACAGACCCCAGTGCCACCTCCTAAAGCCTTTCATTTTCTTCTGATTGATCACCTGGGGATAAATACTCCATCCTGTACCCCCTCAGCAAAGGGGGGCACTTTCTATATACTTTTCTATTTCAGAAGATAATTTCTTTCTTGCCCCTTTTTTCTCAACTCCTAACTTTGAGGCTTTTAGGGTAAGGCTGGAGGGAGGGGACACCCCTGCACAACACTGCTGGTCACATCTTCACCCCAGTACGGATCAGATGCACCCCAAAAGTATTTTCAGGCAATGGGCAAATGAGTTTGTGTGGGTTTGGGGGACAATCAGGCCTCCAGCCACCAGCATCACCCCAAGTACCCATTTCAGCATTTACAACTGCTTGAGTTGGTTCTCTCTGCTGTTGCTGAAATGTTCCAGGGAAAAGCTCTCCCCACAACGTTTGGCTAGAGGACTTTTCCCTGTGGGTGTTTGCTCCTACAAAAAACGCTGATTTTAGAACATCAGGAAAATTCTGAACGCGTGAATTCCAGCTGCTCCCATCCTGTTCCTGTGCTGTGACCTGGCTCAGGAGGGTGGTGAGGTGCTGTCACACGTCCTGCCCCTGAAGAGGATAAAATCACCCCTTGAGAGGATAATATCACCCCTGAGGAAGATAAAATAACTCCTGGAGAGGATAAAATCACCCTGGAACCATCCCTTTCCTATTTGCCCCACCCCCCCCCCCCCCCCCTGCGGTTTTGTGGCTATTTCACGCACTTTGAAAACTCACAAGTTGTTCAGATGTTTGGCTGGAGAATTGAACTACCCTCTGGAGCAGGAGAGTGGGGAAGAAAGGAGTTTTGATTTTATTTCAAGGCAAATCTGCAGTGGTGAGCACACGGTGTGCCAAAGGCCTGCAGAGACACGAGCAGCTCATGCCACAGAACCAGCACGGGGAGCAAGAAAAGCCAGGGAATTTCTGTTGGGAAAGCATTCAGCCAGGATCCCTGTCCCTCTCCTGTGGGCACCAGACATTTCAGCTCGTTCACAAGCAGACAACACAAAGGACCACTGTGACTGCACAGGATGGGAGAATGAGCTGCTCCCAGGCAGGTGGGCAACACCTTCCCAGCTGGAACATCCCGGCCCAGGGAACTGCGGAGTGATGGAAACACAGCAAGAACCAGAGAAAAGGAAAAGCCGGGCCCTCAGTGTCCCTCACACCCTGATGTCAGCAATCCAGAGCTTCTTGGGAGCTACTCAGGGTGGGAGGCTGAGCTTGGCTGCACAACCACCTCCATTCCTGAATCTGGGTGCATTCCTGACAATCCCTGCCCTGTCCTCCTGCAGCAGAAGCAGAAAGACCGCTCACTGCAAGTGCCAAGGTCCTGCTCAAGCAGCAGCTGGAGCAGGAGCTTAAAATGTGCCTTGTGCTCAGATTTTGAGGCCCTGGAGCAAGAATTTGAGGAAAATCCAATTCATCCCCACGCTCAACACATCAGGGCACAGCAGCAGCTGTAGGGAACCACAGGCAGAGGGAGAAGGATGGTGAGGGCCAGGCAGGGAGAGCCTGGCACAAGGCTTTGGAGACAGGGAAGACACTGAGATCAGCACATGTCACATCAACAGCTGTGAGGAAAATGCCTCTCCTAGGACTAAATATCTACCATGGAGTGGAACTGGGGTATGACACCACAATATGGTGATTTCCATGTTCCCACCTGGAGTGTTGTATCCAACTCTAGGGCCCCCACACAAGAAAGACATGGACCTGTGGGAATGAATCCAGAGGAGGCCACGGAGCTGCTCCAAGGGCTGGAGCCCCTCTGCTCTGGAGCCAGGCTGGGAGAGCTGGGGGTGCTCACCTGGAGAAGAGAAGGCTCCAGGGAGAGCTCAGAGCCCCTTGCAGGGCCTAAAGGGGCTCCAGGAGAGCTGGAGAGGGACTGGGGACAGGGCCTGGAGGGACAGGACACAGGGAATGGCTCCCACTGCCAGAGGGCAGGGCTGGATGGGATATTGGGAAGGAATTGTTGGCTGGGAGGGTGGGCAGGCCCTGGCACAGGGTGCCCAGAGCAGCTGTGGCTGCCCCTGGATCCCTGGCAGTGCCCAAGGCCAGGCTGGACGGGGCTTGGAGCAGCCTGGGATGGTGGAAGGTGTCCCTGCCATGGCAGGGGTGGCACTGGATGGGCTTTAAGGTCCCTTCCAACCCAGTCTATTCTGGGATTCTGTGACAGCTTTGGAAGAACATTTTGGGCCACATTCTAAAGGGATTCAACTCACCTTCGCTGTCCAAGCCCACTTACTCCAGGGGTAACAGTCTCCTTCCAGGCAATAACTGGGGAAAGCAGACACCAGCACACCACTCTCTGCACTATGGAAAGGCCACAGAAATTACTCCCATGCTTGGGAGATGGGACTTTATCCACATCTCTGCTCTCCAATCCCACTGTTAGAAGATGGGAACAACAGCAGCACCTTTGGTCAAAGCTGATGGGGCATCTCTAGGAGTACAAACCACAAGAAGCCACTCACACCAGTCCCCAGCACAGAGGATGAGTCTCATCCATCAACGTGGTGTTCTTTTACAGAGAAAACAACATGAAGTGGGAGACTTTGGAGGAAAATAGAGATTTTGCCATTTCCCTCTGCCAGATAACTCTGGTTACCTAGGAACAGACACTCCTCCGATGCGGCCAGTTCTCCTCATCAAGCACAGGATGAGCATTTATTGTCTTGTGATCAGGAGAAAAACACAAACAAAACCCAGAGCTCCACAGGTGACATGAAACATCGCACACAGACACGCCACATGACACCTGACCAACACCAGGAGCCAGGGCCGGGTTAATGATGTTAAGAACTTTTAAAAATCTAATGTAAACATTTAAAAACATACAGAGGAGTCCAAAAAAAAAGAGAAAAAAAAATAAGCCACAGTTGTTCAGGCAGCATGTTGGGTCAACTTTCTGGAATTATGGTTTCTGGCATCAAAGAGGAGGGAGGGGGATGGCAGTTCCCACCTGGAGGTGCATTGATCTCCACAGGGATCTCAGGCAGTGCAGGCTAACGGGGGTGATTTTGGTGTCCAGCTCCGACCATTCTGGTGGGCAGGCTCCCAGGCACCCCTCTCTCCTTGCATCAAGCACTTCCAGTGTGACTGAGGGTGGGTGCTCCAACACAGCCCCCAGATTCTCCAAGGGGAAAATCCCAAAGAGAAGCATGATGTGGAGCCCCCAGCCACGCTTCTCCTCTTGGTTCCTTCGAAACCTCCAACTTGACACACTGAAATGGGGCAGGTATCAAATGGTTTTGAAGAATTTTGGCAAGAGGCTGAGGATGGCGAGGGACAGGACTGAGGAACACGGGTGCACCATGTCCTGGCTCCCAAGTATGGCCAATCCCTCCTTCAGCCCCGTTGACCCTCACCCCGTGGTGCATCCATTCTATTTCCAGGGAGTCAACGCCAGGCGGTTCTTTCATCACTCCGATGGCAAGCGACAAAGAACACTTAAAATTACACTTGACACTAGACAAAGGCACCTAAAAGCTTCACAACGCCATCAGGTCGTGTTCTGTTAAGAAGGCTCCAAGAGCTCATCCTCCCAAGCACATTGCACACTCTCCAGGAAAAAATCCTGCTGGTGGGAGCACATTCCATGTCCCAGAGCAAGGGGAGGGTTGCTCCTGCAGCAGGGGGTCAGTGTGGCTGTAAACAGAAATCCAGGGAGGCTCTGCCCTCCCATCCAGGGTTGCTTTTGCTTTGGCCCTGGTAACACAGGGGTCCTGCAGACTCCAGACTGTGCTTCCCTCATTATTTACAGCATGACACAGGACAAGTTAATGGGGAAACAGGGAATTCTGCAGGGGTGAGGGGGAAGCGGGAGCTCTCCTCTGTGAACTG